TTCCGTAGTTCAAGAACGCCCTATTTGGTTGTGCATATGGCTATCCAGAATAAAGACTACATTTCCCAGCGTCCTCTGCAGCTACATGTGGCCATATGACCAAATTCAGACCAATGAAATAAGCGCAAGTTTGGCGTTGTCTATGCGCCTTTCTTCAGTGGCAGGAATAGATGAGATGGCAATTAGGGGGAGGAGATGGGACAGCAACAAGATGAAGGAAGGGAGACTGGTCCCTGACACTGAGATGTCACCGTATTAGCACTCCGTGATTATGTGAGACTTTACATGAAGGAAGAATCAACCTTCATCTTGTCTGAGCCAGTATGATTTCGGGCCTCTTTGTTACAGCAGCGGAACGCTACATTAACTAACACAAGGACAAAGATGACTCTCATGGGCCTCTGGTTATTAGCTAAGAGATAAAGCCTCATCCTGCCCAGCATCTACTTTGCCCACCCCGTTTTACCCTCACTTACACAGCTGCTCCCAACTCCTCCCATAATCCCCCCAACATTTCCCAAGTTTTCCACGAGTTTAATGCGCACGTCTCAGTAGCCAATGGCAAGGGAGGATAAAAACGGGAAGAGGAAAAGAAGGCCCTCGACACGCACATGGGGAGGGAAGGAGGGCGCAAGTCAGAAGCTGGAGCGGGGAGGTACCCTTCCTGGGGCGTCACATCTCGTCCAACCCGTAGTCCTCCTCAGGGAAGTCCCCCGTCGTCACAACCGATGGCTTGACGAAGGCACCGTACTTGGCCTGGCATTCAAAGTAGCGTTTCCCATTCACACTGCGGGGCACGATGGAGGAGGCACTGGTCAGAAAGCCTCAAACGGTTCTGACCCCCATACGCTAGTATGGGCAGGCTCACCCAGCAGTACGCACGTGGCCTTACGCATGTACCCACGTATATGCCCACAGAGACACAGACGCCAGAGCGGGAATGGTTGTTACCTGCCGTCGTTTTTCCCAAGTGGTTCATCATAGCGGATGCCAATCCAGTAGCCAGGCTTGAAATCTGTGAGTCCTGCCAGGGGAGAAATCCCGGTGAAACCTACAGGTGCAGCTCGGCCCACATTCATGCCTGCCTACTGAGTGCAAGGCCTGCCTTGGCAGAAACCTCCTTGCTTCCTTCACTGCCGCCACCCAGAACCATCCCCATCTCCTGCCTGGACTAACGCAGCAGCCCTTCACTGTCTCCCTGCTCCCACCCTGCCCCCTCTTATCCACTCAACATCCCAGCCAAAGAGGTCTTTGTAAAATCTCAGGGAGACACACCACTGGCTTGCTCCAAATTCTTCAAAGGCTGCCCATCCCACTCGGCATAAAATCCACACTGTTCACGGTCAACTGGTTTTTGACAAAGGTGCCAAGACAACTCGGCGGTGAAAGAACAGTCTCTTCCGTAAACGATGCTCCAACTACAGAATATCCACATGCCAAGAGTGAAGCTGGACTCCGACCTCACACTACAGACAAAAATCACCTCAAAACGGATCAAAGACCTAAAAACAGCTCTCGGAAGAAAACGTAGGGGTAAATCTTTAAGACCTTGGATTTCATAATGGTTTCAGATATAACATCAAAAGCGTAAGCAACAAAAAAAAAAATAAGTAAGTTAGACTTCATCAAAATGAAAAACTGTTGGGCTTCAATGGACA